TGGATTTGGACACAAAGTTGGGCCAGCGTAAGTTGGGCAATAGTCTTTGTGTCTGAGTTCTCTAAACTGACCTTCGTATACCTTAGAAACTTACTGTAAATCTCCCTACTAGTCGAACTTGTCTCGAATGTTGCATTTCTTCGATTAAAAATCTAGTGCTTGTTATGTCAAAGGTGATGACTTTATAAGTGTTCACCTTTGATTGTGTATCTTGAATTGCTTTAGTTGCAACCTCTGAATACACATGTCCAGCATTAATTATTGCATCTACTTCCCTACTTCTTTCAATGAAGAACTTGTTGCAACGGGTGTGTGTCACCATGACCATGGAGCAAATTGGCAAGTTTCTAGTTTTCTTCAAGACTGAATTGATTGACTCCGCTAGGTTTGTTGTCATGTATCCCCAGCATCGTCCGTTGTCTCATGCCAGCGTCCATTTTTTCCTTGGGATGTTGTCTAACCAATGAGCAGCTTCAAGATTATTATCTTTTACTATGTTGTAATAGTAAAAGAATCTTGGTTCAGTCATCCCATATGCTGGAAAAAAAGATTACAAATTAAATTAATATAACTAGCTAAGCAAGTGTATAAAATATTAATGATAATATAGAGTATGTAAAAATTTAAAATTATCCATATTGACGCATCTTTCTTAAGTGTAACATTTTTGAATCATCGCATGAAGTTTTGTGCAATGTGTCTAATGCAATAGACATGGACATAATTGTTTTCTGTCCAACTACTTCTATTTCTAGAGTATGCACTTTTTATGGCCTCATGATAATCTGAAATGAGACACAACCCCTCTTGCAGGGTTACGTACCTCCTTAAGTTTCTAAAAAAAAAGAACCATGCATCACTAGTTTCACCTTCAACCACAATAAAGACAATGATAATTATGTTGTTGCGGCCGTCTTGTGCAATTGCCACCAATAAAGTCCCTTGTATTTGCTATACAAAAATGTTTCATCTACTTGAACAATTGGTTTGTAGAAGGAAAAATCATCAATGCATGGCTTGAAGGTCCAAAACAACCTCTTGAAGAACACATTCCCCTCGTCCAACAAGCCACCCTAGTACTGACACATTTTACGAGTAATGGTGACCTCTCTATGACACCATTGGATTTCCTCTTATTCAAAGCTTCACAAAATTTGAACAAGCTTTCTCTACTCCTAAGTATTGACTCAATGTTCTGCCATTCACGTTTTACGAGTGATGGTGACCTTTCTATGACATCATTGGATTCCTTTTCATTCAAAGCTTTACAAAATTTGAACAAGCTTTCTCCACTCCCAAGTACTGACTCAACATTCTGTCATCTACGTTTTACGAGTGATGGTGGCCTCTCTATGACACCATTGGATTCCCTCTCATTAAAAGCTTCACAAAATTCAAATAAGCTTTATCTACTCCCAAGTAATAACTCACTCATCAATCACAAAAATGTTATTGTCGAAGCAAAACGAACACAGGTCTACCTTCATTGGTAGAACAGTAAGTTTGAGACATCATTGTTATTTACCTAAAATGTAAATCAATTTTTACGTATAATGTTACTCACTAATTTGTTAATAACTGCAAGAAACTGAAAACATGATCTCATCTTTCTGTCATTCAATGCCAGAACCCAACCCCATAATTGTTCCTATTCTTGAACAACTTAATTTTGTTGGGATTGCAAAGTTAAGGCATCTTAAAGTGGATCAAACACTGGTGACAGCTTTGGTCAAAAGGTGGAGACTTAAAACTCACACATTTCATTTTCCAACTGGAGAGTACACCATAACCTTGGAGGATGTTGCACCTCAATTCGGGCTAAGAGTTGATGGATTACCAGTCATTGGTCCAACAATATTTGACTGGGAGGATGTGTGTGACACATATTTCAGTATCATGCCAGTCAAGAGAGAGACACTTATTGGCTCTATAGTGAAACTGAAGTGGCTGAGAGACAACATGTTGCCATTACCGGATGAACCATCTGAAGAGCAAGTTCACGCCCACGGTAAGGCATATATATTGGGTTTGATTAGAAGTATTTTGATGCCTGACAAAACAGGAAACAAAGTTCATCTTATGTATTTAGCTTTATTAACTAATATTAGAAGAACTAGAAGATATAGTTAGAGGTCTGCTTGTTTAGCTATGTTGTACAGGGAAATGTGCAGGGCCACGGAAGTCAGAAGCAAAACAATGGGTGGTTGTGCATCACTGTTAATGTCCTGGGCATGGTATCGTATGCCATATATTGCACCAATTTCCAGTAATTCACCAATATACCTTTTGGTGTGCAGATGGAGCGGGAGTAGAGTCCTCAACTTCCGAAATAAACCTCACAATGATGTTGTGGGGTACAGATTAATGTTTAACCATATTCAGATTAATCAGGTAAATCTTCATAACTAAAATTTTAATTTTTTTCTTGTTTTATTTTGTTTTACATATTATCTTAATTAACAAAGTTAAATTTATTTGTAGTTTTTATAGGTGTCATATCAAGAGTTGCAAACATCAATGCCTATGGAAGCATACAGAGATGTCCAAATGTGGACTTCATATACCGCCTTTCTTTGTTTTATGATTGTTGAATGACACCAATCAGATAGAGTCAAATTATAATTTTCGCTCTTACAAGAAGTCCCTTCTCCACCTAATAATTTGGATGATCTTCACACAATTGATATGAGAGGAAGACAAGATGAAAATTGGATCACAAGACATACTCGATGGATCGATGTGTGGAACAACAAATGTGACTTAACATTAACGAGTCATCCAATGTCAGGCCCATTGTGTCACACACAAGATTACATGGAATGATACATTGCCAATTCCATCTATTTTCTATCTATGACACCACTACTTCAAGATCCAAGGAGGAGCTACCAGCAGTTAAGGACTACCACAACATTTGCCACTGGTTGGCACGGGGTCGTACATGTGTAAAAAATAAACCTAATTACTATAGCACGAGGCAAGCAACCAGAATCGTTTCCCAAAGGATCACAAAGACGAATTAATCTATTTAGAAAGTATGTAGGACAGGGGGGATGATATAGAATCAATAAAATAGAGTCAAAGTTGAGAGGATTAAATCAATTGGAAAAACACCTAATTCAAGAATCGAGAAGGAATAAGCTAACATTCAATCTCGGAATCCCAAAATACATATTATTCAAATTCGGTGGTTAAAGACTAGATTCAACTGAGACCTCAAATTAAATCAAGCGATCACATGAAAAGCTTCAGTGTTTGATTAACACGAATTCAATTAAACTTAAAAACCTCAAAATCTAATCGAACGTGTTAACTTTCTGAACCACTTAATTAACCTTAATTTTCAAAAATCAATTCTTGTACTTCAACCGAAATAAAACAATGAATTGAATTGCCTTTCAAAAATAAATTGAACGAAAACCTTCAGTTCATGATATTAATCAGAATGGAGAAAAATAAGAATCTAAGAAACCCGAATTCAAATATAAAATCTACAAACCGATTCTCATGAATGTTGCATTCCGTTGATCCTTGAACTAGATAAACGAAACTACTCCTCCATGGATGGAAGCTCACGAAAAGAAAATCTCTATTCCCAAAAAAAACGAGTCAAAAAAAAAATGCCTTCAAAAGAAAAACTCCCAATCTTTTATTCAAATCTGACTTTTCAAAACCTCCAGCAACAAACCATTACTTCCTCCTTCAAATTTGCCTAGGAAGCGCATCTGTTATATTTTTAATTGATATTACATTCAAGCCACGGATGTTAGCTTTCAAATGCCACTGGAATGAGTTGAATCGGACATTTGTGGGCTGAGATATGACCCAAACACTGCACTAAGGTCCAGAATCCGCGAATTACGTCTTCCAGCCCAGTTTTGGTCCAATTTTGTTTCTGGATGCTATGATTCAGCCTTTACAAACTTATTTGGAGTTAATTTTACAACTCCATCTTCAGCACATAGTTACATGTAGTCTCTTTACCAACAGAATTTTGCTAATGAACTTGGTAATTTTTCAGCTGCATTCCAACTAGACCTTAATAATCCTCAACAAGTTCATCTTGAATTTCCATAGCAACAACCACGACGATGAAACTCATAATAGATGTTGCCCTTGTTGTGGAACTGAACATCATTACGAAAATAGTGATAGTGAAAATCACTAATGAATATTGTTATCAATATTGTGTTAAGTGTTGATTTTTATTAAATATTTAATGAATTATGATTTTTTTTAAATATATATAAATATTTACATCATATTTTTTTATTTTATTAATATTAATAACAAAATTTATATCCAACTATTATAACCATAATTATAAAAATTAATTAAGTATATATTTAATAAACATATAAAACAAAATATTCTTCATTATTTTTATTCATCTTATATACAAATGTGATGTTTGTAGAATCAAATACTTATTCAAAATATTATTATCATATTAATATTTAAAATTCATAACACAAAATTACATATTCAAAAAAATATATAAACAAAATATTCTTTATTATTTTATTCATCTTATATACAAATTTTATTTTATTTAATAAAATACTGATTTAAATTTTTTTTATCATATTAATACTAAAAAAATATATGCCCTTATATTCTGTATTATTTTTATTCATTTGATATACAAATTTTATTTTTTTTAAAATTAAATATTTATTCAAAATAATATTATCATATTAAAATTAAAAATTTATAACATAAATTTATATATTTAATAAAATATATGAACATAATATTCTTTATTATTTTACATAATATAAATATATAAATATTATTTCACATAAATTAATATAATATAAATATTCAATATAAATTGTGAATAAATATATTAGAATTGTTCCAAGTATATATTTATTTTTTAATATTTTTTGTGTGAAAAATTCGATAAACTGTAGCATCTCTTGTTGTATTTTAACATTTTTTTCTCATTAAAACTAAATTGTTTGATATTTATAGCGTCTGTATCGTAGACGAAGGTGAAGGTGTAAATCTCCCTCCCCGTCACTGTTCTACTTTCTCTCTTCTCGTCGTTTCACGCTCGTTCACGCCTCTAACGGCAACCCACCGGTCTTTAACAGCATGACCGTGGCAGCAGGCTCAGTGGCGTAGTGCGGGTACGACTCTTTACTGTTAACGTTGAAGGTGTTTAATGCGGAAGAAAAGCAGTTGAAAACGAGAAAGTAAACCCCAAATATATCCTTAAGAGACAAAATGCTCCAACACCAAATCGTTCAATCTCCTGCTAGGCTGGGCCTCACGAACCCTAACTCCCCCTCAATCCCAAACCCCACCCCTCCAAAACTCCCTCCTCCGCAGACCCACCAATCCCAAGACCGAAACAACAGTTCAACTTCAGTCCCTTCTTCCGCACTCCTCTCTCTTCTCCCACCACTCCCCAGAGCCCAAGCACTCCTTCTCCAAATGGCTTCCCTCACTTCCAAACTCTTCGATGTTTCCCCCAATCGCTCGCTTTGGCTCACTGCATTCCGTGGTTCCCTCCCAACCTTCGTCTCTTCCCAAACCCAAGCCTCACTTGACGCTTCCCCTTCCTCTGCCAAAGAAATCATTTCCCTCTTCAACCTCCTCCAAACCCAAATCTTCGAAGCTGTGGCTGAACTCCAAGAGATTCTCGATCTCCAAGACGCCAAACAGAAAATTGACCGTGAGATTCGCTCTCTGGATTCCACGCTCCTCGCATTTTCCAACAAACTCAAAGTTGCCGAGCGCTGCCTCGACATCCTCGTCGACGACTACTCTGATTATCGCCGCTCCAAGCGGTTGAAATCCGGTGACGACTGCGAAGACGAGTCCATGACTTCTTCAACCGTCTCGTCGCGGTTAAAGCTGTCGGATATTTTGTCCTACGCTCACCGGATAAGTTACACGACCTTTGCCCCGCCGGAATTTGGAGCTGGACAAGCTCCTCTCCGAGGCGCCCTGCCACCGGCACCCCAGGAAGAGCAGATGAGAGCCTCGCAGTTGTATAGCTTTGCGGACCTTGATGTTGGATTGCCTAAAGAAGTGGAATCTAAGGAGAAGGTTGTTGAAGCTATTGTCGAGCCTCCGCCTCTGCAGCCGCCAGTGGATGCCAATCCACTTGCAAATTTGTCCGCGATTCAAGGGCTGCTACCTCCGAATTTCACAGTGCCCGCTGGTTGGAAGCCGGGAATGCCTGTGCAATTGCCTATTGATTTGCCAATTAAGCCTCCACCTGGGTGGAAACCGGGGGATCCTGTGCCGTTGCCTCCCATGGACTCGCTTCAGGTTCCGAGATTTGCAGAGCAACAATCGCAGCCTCACATTCCGCAGCCCAAGCAACCAGAGGTTATTCAAGTGCAGCCTGTTAATTTGGACCTTGGAGGAAGTGATAGTAGTGATTATAGTAGCGACGATGCCAGCTCTGATGATGAAGATTGAGGAGTCTGTGAAATTGATCATCTCAAATTGATAACTGCACAGGTGAAAATTTTTGTTTTGTGTAGTTTGTTTTTTATTTATCTTAGTTGGAAGTGCGTTGTCAATGTGAGTTTGCAGTGTCAATTCTTTTCCATGGCACTTGATTTTTATGTCACTAGACTATGTTATAGGTCGTGTCAATTGTTTACTAAGCATTAAGTTTTGTAATGATGTCTGCACCAATGCATTGAAAGGTTTAGTTGATTGGAGAGCAATAACATAACTTTTCATCACCTAGTAGGTCTTTTTTCGGTTTTTTGTGTTGTAGGACATAATTCTATGGTGAGGGCTCTTACGGTTTCTTCTGCAGCCTCTGGAGAGCATGACAGATATCCATGCTTTATAATTGTGAAAAAATCTAATGCGACTGCATTTATACAAGCGAAAGGTTGTGTTTTTCAAGCTACAATGATGTTCAATGTAGACAATATATGCTACTGTTACTATGAAAAATAATATATATCTTATATCTTCCTAGTTTGCATCTGGTTCTGATAATTACCATTATTGCCAGCGACAAGTGAAATACCCAATCATGATTAGGCACTGTGCAAGCTTCTGTCTACCTTCCCGTAATCCCTTTTAGAAGGAAAGTAGCAGGTACATAGTTTAATTGCAAACTTTCTACGGCTCAGTTTTAGAGAAGGAAAAAAATAGTTTTAAGAAGATTAGAACCCTAGAGAGTACCTAGTGTTTTGGTAACCACAACAGAGAAGTAGGTTTGCAGGTTTGTATACTGCCAAGCAAGAAGAGCTGTCATAATCTGTGTGGTATCGATCCCATCTATGTTCTGGGTAGAATAGTAGGAAGCCTGGGTAAGAACAGAAGCTAGAATTGCGGATGATAGTTTGTCCTCATGACTAGAAAATATCCACAGAAACAGGGTTCATGTAATTTTGAAGGATGAACACATATAGGGAGAGGGAATATATATCCTTTTAGTAGGACTAAAGTTTTAAGAGAGATAATTAGATAAAAGGTAAGCGCCTAATACATGACTAATTGTCAAACTCAGGATAACCCTTTCCTTTATTCTTGAAAATTATATGAATCTCTTGAAGTTATATTCACGAACTTGCTGTGACTAATAAAGTTAGTTTGAATATCTTATTGTGATAAGTGGTAGACACCTTGAGGTGGACCGTTGACCTATTATGCTTGCATTTGACTGATTTTAATGGCTTAGGCTGATATGCACTATAAATATATCAAACCTTTTGTTACAATAGGTCATTTTTTAAGTCCTAAAAGGTGTTTGATATGCATGCCGTTGGGAGTGCATTTATTTATGAAATATAGTAGTCAATCCCAGATAGCGCATAGCATGATCATCTCTATCCTGAAGTTAAATACACTTAACATTGTTGCACCAAGTATTCTGGCACAAAAGGAACGCTATTGTGCACTATTAACTACTATGATATGAAATTGGTAAATTCAGACTGAACTGTCGCAATGATTTTAGAACAGAATTGGGTTTAAATTATGGGGTTATATTGCAAAACACAAGCTTATAACAGAGACTTTGAAGGTTCTTCACTCTTGCTGTACATAATAATGAAGTGTGCGATAACATTGTATATAATTGAGGTCCTATTAAAAATGATTTTGAGTAACTTTCTTGAATATTTGCTGCATTGAGTTGGTAAAATTCTGGCGTAAACCTGAACTGAAAGTTAGAGTTTAAAATAGTAAAAACATGATTAAGAAACCTGACTTTAATGGATACCTGTATAAGGATTTATTGTAGAGCACTCTTAGGATTATTTTGACTCTTTCCTTATTGTTTAATTGAATTATAATTAGCTAATTCTCTGCTTGCAATTGATGATGTGTTTGGTGACATTAAGGAGTGTTGTCAAATGGCCGTGGCAGTTTTCAGTGTCAATTTTTTGACAAACTGCCATGCATATGGCAGTTTAAGGACGGCAGGTCATGGCGGCTGTTAAACTCCTGACACTCACGGCAGAAAGTGTCAAGATTTCACAAAATAAATAAAATAAAATAATTAGTAGATCTCTAACCCGACCCAGTCCATAGAGTGACCTGTGAAAATAAACCCTAACACAGCAGCACAACTTAAAACGACTACTTTCTTTCTCTCTCAACGTCTCTCATCTTCCTTTCTTACATTCCTAAACTCCAGCAAACACTACTCTTTTATTTTCCAACAACTGTTGCTGCCGCCATCTCCAACAACTGCCTCTGTTATTGTTCTGGGGAGTCCATTTTTCAGTGAGTGAACTTTTTTATTTTTTTTTCTTATTATTTTCCTCCTTCATTTTGTTTCTCATTTTTCTCACATTCTCTTCTCCCTGACTTCTTGACTTGGTTTTTAGTCCCCTATTTTGTTTTTCTCGTTTTTCCTTCTCGCACTCTTTATTTTTTTCTACTTTGTTTTTCCCTCTCCCATTCTATTTCCCTCCCCCAATTTTTCCTTTTTCCCTTATTATTCTGTTTTCTTGATTCTATTTTTAGTTTCAAGTTTCTTTCTCTATTTTTATGTTTTTATTCACTATTTTTCTGTCTCAATTACAGATTTTATCTGTTTTAGATCCATTTTATTCTTTTTTTCTCTAAACCTTCCTTAAGATGGCTGAACAATACTCCTTCATCAAATTTTTTAAGAGCTATGCTTTGAGATGATAAGTTGTTATTAGGTTTTTTGGTTGATATATGTAATTAGATTTTGGTTTTATATCCCATTCTGCAGTGTTTTTTCATTTATATTTTTGTAGATATTATATTGCTTCTTTCATAAGCCGCCATGGCATGTGCCATAATTTTATGGTAGAGTTATGGCTGTCTGCCATGACCTATGAAGTGTAGATACTTAGTATGATGGATACTAGAATATGAGAAAAATTTGAAATTCGAGATACGATATAAACATGTTGACATGAATTCAAAGAAATAACATACTATATATATATATATATATATATATATATATTTTAAACCTTTTAAGATTAGCGCCAAAGCTAAGCAGAAAATTTTAGAACTTGATTGAGGGGTTTGTAGTTGATAACAAGTCTGGGAGTACCTCTTTCAATCTCAGCAGGTTTATTAACATAAAAAACAGAGCAAGACCAAGGACTCTTGCTTTTCCTGATAAGATTTTTGTCTAAGAGATCTGTAATCTTTTTCTGACAATAATGGAGGAGTTCTTCATTCATCTGAATTGGTCTGGCTTTAGTGGGAATTTGGGTATCTTTGAATCCTGATTCATAAGGGAGACTGACAATATGTTTTTTCCTATTCCAGAAAGTGCTGGGTAGGTCAGAACATATAGAAGTTTGGATTTTGTTTAAAAGAGACTGGATTTTCTTTTGAAGTGAAAAATTACCTAATTGTTTTTCAATATTAGCAAAAGAAACTTCTTCTTTTAAAAAGTTAATCTGATTAACTTTGTTTTGAATAAAATTAATATTTTTTGTAAAGGGCTTATTAGAAAATTTGAAGGTTATTTGTTTCCCTAAATGTCGAGTGGATATACCATCTTTCGAAATTTGCAAAGGGAAAAGAGCTTTTATGAAAGGTGTTCCCAAAATCACTTCATTTTTTAAATTTTTAACAAGAAGAAAGTTTGTTTCAATCTTAAGTTCTTGATTTTCAATTACAGCTTTAGAAAGCTTATAATTAATTTTCAGTTTTGAACCACTAGCAGTGCTGAGTTTTTCAGAGGTTTTTTCAAAATATTTTGTAGGAATTAAACCTTCTAAAATACAATTTGAATCAGCACCTGTATCAAAAAGGGCCAAAGTGTCAAGAACAAAATCATCAATAACGATTCTGATATTAATGTAAAATTTTTGTATTTTGACCTTGTTGATCAAACACATAAAAGTTTCTTCTGGATTACCAGAATCAACCTTTACAGAATCATTATCCTCAGGAAGTTCTACTTTCTCAATGTCAGATATCTGCCTTTGTAAATTTTGTATCCTTCTTTGACAGGAGTGGGAAGGATTTCTTCAATTGGTCCAAAATAATCCCACCATTGGAGGAACTAATTTGGAAAGTTATAATTCTGATTCTTTTTAAAATATATTAACCAAGAATGTCGGTTAAGTTTATTTTGGAACCAGAAAGTTCTTGTCCATGCGTCAATGTAGTCCCAATAATTATATCCTACTGGATCAAATGGTTGGGAAAACTTTTTATAAGAATTTAAATTTTTTCCAAAAGCCTTTGGAGTTAAGACTTTCAGGATTTGTATTGTTGAATGGGTGGTAACTGACGGATCCTTGTGGTCCTTGTAATGCTTAATGGAAACAGAATCTGAATCCACTAAGATAAACTCATAAAACTGTCTGGTTTTATTAGCCTGATATGGTCTGAAATGAAATCCTGGTGGGAAGATTTTAGTAATTGCCTTGTATGGGTTTTTGTCCCAAAATTCAGGTTCCATTTGTATGACTGAGGAGAATTTTCCTTTGGCTACATAATGGCTTGGGTTTGAAGTTTTTTGTTTTCCCTTTTGAAGGTCAAGGGTCCCTTCTGTTTTATTGGTTATTGTTTTTTGGGTTTGGTTGAAGGTCTGGAGTATAGTGTTTAGGCTTGCTAAATCTAATTCCATATCTTCTTCAGAGGCAATGTCTGCCCAAGATTTATTTGGTAGGCTACTCAAGCTTCCTTGTTGGATAGCTAAAAGCGTACTAATTGGGAGAGCATAGTCTGTTTTGGTTTGTTTGATCTTTTCAAAATTCGATATGAAATCGGGATTTTGGCAAATCCAAATTTGCGAAAATGATAGGTACAAGACTGCCTTTACTGTTCCCTTTGGGCATTACGAATGGAATGTTATGCCCTTTGGTCTAAAAAATGCTCCTTCTGAATTTCAAAAAATCATGAATGACATTTTCAATCCTTATTCAAAATTTGTCATTGTTTACATTGACGATGTTTTAATTTTTTCTCAATCCATTGATCAATATTTTAAACATATAAATGTTTTTATCAATGTTATTAAACAAAACGGTCTTGCCGTTTCAAAATCAAAAATTAGTTTCTTTCAAACCAATATCAGATTCCTTGGACATAATATCCACCAAGGTACCATTATCCCTATCAGTAGGTCCATTGAATTTGCTGATAAATTTCCTGACAGGATCCTTGATAAAACCCAATTACAGAGATTTTTGGGATGTCTCAATTACGTTGGGGATTTCATCCCCCACCTAAATAACATCATCAAGCCTTTACATGATAGGCTTAGGAAAAATCCTCCCCCTTGGACTGATGTCCATACTAATGTCGTTAAAGAAATCAAAAACAAAGTCAGGAAGATAAATTGCCTATATCTTCCCATCCCCCAAGCCTTCAAAATCGTTGAAACTGATGCCTCAGACATAGGTTATGGAGGTATTCTTAAACAAAAAATCAAGTCTCATGAGCATATCATTGCATACACTTCAAAACATTGGAATTCTGCACAACAGAATTATTCTACTGTTAAAAAGGATGTTTTGGCAATTGTTT